GTTTCTAAAGTGAATGGTGAGGAAACCTTTGTCCCAACAAAACATAAGCCCAAACAAAAATATAATAAAAAGCAAAAATAAAAGCAAATAAAAATAATGCTCAGACTTGGTTCCTTACACATCTTTTGATAATTTAATACTTATAATTAAATTAATATTTAATACTTAGTTAGAAGGTTCTGGAAGAAAATTATTGGCCCAGAGCAGGACTCAAATCCATATTTCCCACTTATAGTGTGGATGCATTGTCAGTTACACTACCCTGATCTTCATCCAATTTACCAGAATTGTTAATTAAGTTTAGATATAACCATACTGAAGTCATTCCTAGTCAATTCCCAGTCCCATCATGAGATAACCAGTATGGTTATATCTAAAATTAATAGTTCTGAAAGTGCAGATCAGTTTGAGGTCTGGGTAGCATAACTGATAATGCATCTGCATGGTAAGCAGGAGTTGTGGGTTTGAGTCCTTCTCTGTCTCTGGTCCAATTCTTTTCTTCTAGAATGTTATAAATTAATTTTTAATAATTGATAAATTTAATAATTATAATTAAATTGAGAGATGATGCCTAATGCCTACCTCTAGGCCAAATTATATGACATTTAATTATAAGTAGTAGCATTATTTTAGCCCAATGTAATTCAGCAATCATTTGGCATTAATTCACTTATTATGCTACCTAATCAAAGAACTGTGAAATATAGTTGATCAGGTGATTCAAAGAAATCCTACTATGGTCACCCAGAGAATATGATGTTTGGCATGACTGTAAATGAATTCAAATGTATCAGAGAACTGGGATTGAGAAGAATCTGGAAAGTAGCACAGTTTTTGTTTAATGAAACTAAAACTACATGTTTATAATGACAAACCAAATGTCACAAACATAATTATAACTAAAACAATGTTATGTCAAAGTAAAAGGTATTGTGAGATATATTATGTTAGGGTTGACAAAGAGATCCAACCAAGATTGCAATGTAAAACAAACGTTTAACACAAGATTCATGTTACAATTGTAAATACTTGTAACAAATATTGTAACAAATACTTGTAACAAATGCCTTAAGTTATATTTAAACTACAGAAGACTGGAGTAAGAGGGAGGGAGGGAAGAAAAATGATAAGGGTTATGTGGGAAAGGCACCTCAAAGCCCAAAGTAGTAGATTGTGACAACATCATGTTCTTTTGGTATCCAAAAAAAGAATGGTATGATTAGGGTTTCTCAAACGGGATCCCGGGATCCCGGTTGTTTTTTTAACCCGGGAAATATTCCGGGAAATTTTTCTTATCCCGGGAAATCCCGCAAATTTCTTAAAAATTCACTTTTTTTCTTATTTTGTGTTAAGGTTGGGGAATTTTGCAAATAGAAAGCATAATTAACTCATTCACTGTCAGAATACATTTGTATTTATTAATTTTAAACCTACCTATTAGTTTTTTTTTAAATTTTTGCTCGTTATAGCATGTCACAAATGGTCAATAATCAATATATAGCTTATTTGTGGCAGGACTATAAAAATTCTTTACTTGTCGGAACCTGTAATATCTGGAATAATTGTGCTTACGCTGTCTTGAGTTTTAACCATGCCCAGTAGCTTCAATAAATGCCTGACGCCAGATTGTGCAAATTGGGCAAGGATACAAACGAGTACAAAGTCTGCAAGTATGAAGTTTTTCTTCATAAACCTGATTATTAAAGCCAAATGAATTGCCGAATTATCGAGCTCTAAGCTTGATGCCGCTATTAAAGCAGCCAAGGTAGACAAATCAAGAATACTAGAGAGCGAAAGAAGTACTACAATCTCGAAAACGAACTCGAAATCTTCCAGGCTACAGGTGAAAAAACACATAATATCTGTCTTCTCTTAAATGCATTAAACACTATTCCAATCACATCAATTGAATCGGAAAGGGCATTCTCGGTGGCAAGACTTTTCATTACTAAAATAAGAATTAGAGTGAGTTATCGGAGTATTGACCATCTTTGCTTTTTAAAATCTTATAAAAGTTTGCAATATTTTGTATTATATTTTATTTAAAAAACGAAAATTACCTTCTAAATTAGAAGTTCATTTTTTTAATTTTTAACTCAATTCAAAACATTTTTTTTGTTGTTGTTGTATGCAGTTTCCAGCAAACTTTAATTAATTTTTTTCTATTTGTGAAAATTTCTACGTTATTTAAAGGTAATTTTTATTATAGGCCTATAGACCTTACACAGCATTATTAATATGATTTTGGAGGTTACAGAACTTTAAAATTACTTTAAAAAATGGAAAATAATTATATCATTTGATTTCAAGATATTTTGTATACCTTAGAAATAATTAATTCTGTCCCGGGATCCCGGGAAACAGTTCACTTTTATCCCGGGATCCCGGGACAAGCAAAAGACCGGGAAATGAGAAACCCTAGGTATGATGTTAGGTGACCTTTCTTTTTATTTGTGAAGCTTTGTACAATTGTGAGTTAGCCGGGGTACAGATCCGTAGAATTTGTACCACTTAATTCGCACAGATTAAGTGAAATCTGTTCTCGGCAGTTCACAGATCAGAAGATCAGGTCTCTAGTCGAAGGATGACCTTAAGGGCGTTTAAAAGGGATCCAAAGTATGAGATTCAGATCCACGTCAGGATGATGACACCAGTTAATCAAATTTATTATACGCGGATTAACATGCATTTACGAATCAATATGCAGAGGACCAAACATTTTGACCCAGACATAATGTGATAGAGCCTCAAACATAAAATATTGAAAATTTAATAAACAAAAATAAAAAATTACAAAATCAAACTCTCAAATTATAATTATGGAATTTGCGGAGAGAGAGATTACATTTCTAGTTAAAACATACTACCTCAATAAATGTATATTTTCTTCTGTATTTCAGATTCTGTGCGAATGTTCTTATCTTTGGTTAGTTCTTCGGCAGCACTTTAATAAAGATTTTCTTCTATTTAGAAACTTAGAAATAACAAACTTTGTATGAACTACGGGAGTCAAAATATGGGTGTTAGCCATGGGGAGATAATATGGAATACGTCCTTCTCCTATGGAATTTCGTGGCATACTCCCCGAATGATACTAAAGAATCCCCTTTTTTGATGATTTTCTCCAATGAGAGAATTGTATTATTCCCACGTGTTTAGGAAGAGTGGTGGTTTACAGAGGGGTAACTGGACTGTATGTGACTCAAAATTTGTGAAGATAAGTGAAAACAAAAAAGATGTCGAACTTTCATTGAGAAGGAAGTCAGTTTTACCAGTTTCCTTCATTTTTAATTTAAAATTCTTTCATTTAAGTCAGAAATATTATTTATAACCTTTATGAATTTGACATCAATTTTCAATTAATAAAAGGGGAGTGTCCAGAATCTCACACAATCTTCTGGGTTACTACAACCTGATAATCTTCACATCTCTTTTGCTTGTTGAAAGTCACCTCCTTAAAAATTTTTCTATACATGCAAATTGTCCATTTCTGCCATCTACCAGTTACCATTCTTTCCCCTCCACTCCCATGGGTTTATTGCACACTAGGCAATGAACCCATGGGCAAACAAAAGAAAAAGACAAAGTTCTACAAATATTTATAAATAATAACTATTTACATATAATACATGGAAGGCAACTTCACAGTATTCATTCACTCAAAATTCCCTAACTAAACTTGAATGCTATAGGATTGTCCTTTTGATCAATTGGCAATCATGCAGTGTGACTGAACCACCTGCGATACATGATGTGTTGAATGAGGAACTGTGACCAGTGATACTCAAAAGTGGAGGAGAGTATTACCTGAAATAGAATTTCTCAAATTCCTCTCAATAGACTGTGCCATACACAGTCTATTGAGAAATGAGTGAAATTAGAAATTGAAGCATTAGCTGTATCATGTGATCCAGTTTCAAGAAATTGATCTTGTAAGTTTTTTTAAGTAATAAAATTATTTTTAAAACACGTTTGATTGAGTTATAATTTTCAATTATTTATTATTATCTATGTTAAAAATATGAATATATCAATATCCCTTAAATATGGAAATTTTAAAAGCTAGTAAGGTTGTATAAAAGTTTGAAAAACTAAAGTGCTGCATTTTAACAGTATTAGTCCTTAATTAACTACTACACATTTGGCTGTATATTCAAAATGTTTGAAATTGATTCCCTCAAGATATTGTCCAATAGGAACAAAATTTTGCAGTTTCTCTGAGAATCACAAAAGGCAACTTTCACGCACTAACTGATATTCTTATGCTTTTTTTTACTCTACCCTACCCTAATGTATAATATATATACAATAATACAAAACTGAATATAAAATATCCTCTTATTCATATTTAAATGAGTAAATATTGTTGTTTAAATTAGATTTGTAAATGGAATTCATTTACAAGTATAGTTTTAAAGTTCTTTAAAAATTTCTGGATATTTAGTCATTATAAAATTTATTTTATACTATTATTTAAATAATTTTCTAACAAGTATTAATTATTTTTCTTATAACTAATTGATTCTTCAAATAGTTTTGTATTTGAAATTATTACTCTATTGAACTTCTTCCATTTAATATAAAATATCAAAATTAAATTTTAAGAAAAAATAGTAGTATTTTCCTCAGAAATTATACTATCAATTACCAGAAGTGTGTTCATATTAATTTAAATTTTCAGAAAATACATCTCTAAAAATGTTTCATATGTACTGTACATAGAATATGCAATAGAACATTCTACTTGATTTCAAATGTTTAAACTTCTAAAAAATAAAGTTGAGATGCAATTTGTATAATTGCAAGATATTTATTATTTTATAAATAATAAAAAGTTAACATTTTTTATGTGAATATTTAATTACAATATATAATTTTAATTTAGATATTGCTGATGTTAGAATTACAATTATTAGATATTTGAAAATATTTTTTAATTTGGGACTTATTTATTATTAAATATAAAATTATCCATTAACAATTAATATTATGTTACTAAGTCAAGAGAAGAAGTTCGTGAAAGTGTGGAGGATGAAAGAGAGGTTTTGGCAACTGAAACTATCTACAACTACTACATGGGCTGGAAGGTGAGAGGTGACTGTCATTTGGTATTTTTCATCTTGCATTTCCAGAAGGGGCATGTACTAAGCTTAAAATTTAAAATATTATATACTTATTTTTTCTTTTTCTTTTTTTGTCTTTTAAATATAGTTATTAATAATTAATAAAATTTATAATTGTGTCTTACAAATATTAGAAATTTAACATTGTTTAACTTAATTATAGAATTTCTTACTAGAAATACATGAAAAGTTATATATTATTTATAAATAAGTAAAAGATATTCAAATGAAACATGTATTTATCAGCTCAAATTATTAATCCAATCAAATTATCAATAATATTCAGTTAAAAGTTCATATTTGAATTATTTGTTTTTTACAATAAAATTTTAATTCTATACTTAATGAATTTAAAACTATCCCAAAATCAAACATTTGCCTCAAAAGCTTTTGATTACTAACATTGTAAAAGCCTTGTTACATTTGCATCTAAGATATTTCTGCAATGTAAATGTAACAAGGTTCTTCCCATGAATATCCTGAGTGAACCTTCCAGTTTCTAAATAATTTGTAATCCTTATTTAATGAATTTAAATTTTAACATAAAGTAAATTGATTAAATTAACTTTGAAATTTAAGTTCATTGCTTTCAAATTGTACTATTATAAATTTCAACATTAGCGTGATTGAGGCCAAAGTTTTAAAAGTGAAAACGTGTACGTCAGATGTTCAGTGCTGTTTTCCTGTAAACCTAGAAGTTTGACAATGGTGTTTGGATAGTCAGTGGAATCATGCTCGACATTCCAAACACCTTTCAAAAATTCAAATTTGCATTCTGCTTTGACAAGTTTTAACGCTGTCTTCCTATACTTCTTGTAATAATCCACCGTGCCGTCATATTCTAATTGATGTACACTCCAAACACCATTGTCAAACTTCTAGGCTTACAGGAAGGCAGCGCTGAACGTCTAACATATACATTTTCACGTTTTAAACTTCGGCCTCAACCTCGCTATTAATTATAATACTTTTAAAAATGTAATTAGAAAGTATATTCACTGTATTTGCCATACAGCAGTAGATGGGGCCATTGGAAAGTTGAGAAATTTCCAGAAACACTGGGATTGGACATTGGAAGATTAAATTTTTATTATAAAATTATAATTAAAACTTAATATGTAAACCAAATTTACAACATACATAGGTACAGTACTTACTCAGAAATGTTTGTTTGACTCATATTGCTCTTTTACCTAGAATTTTTGTTAAGTTAATTAATTAATACATGCATATTGCCATATGCATATTATTACTATATGAAAATATCATATGAACTAGAAAGCTTGTAAAGCTTATCCTGACACTTGCTATTGCATATTAATATTTTTTAACTGTGCAATTGTTCAAGTAGTTTGCAAACAAGCTTTTTCAAAATTAAAATATGAAAAAAATAAATTAAGGTTAACCCTGACTGAATCTTGACTGGAAATATTTATGCTAATGAGCTACAAGAAGGGAAAATACCGCAGCTCTAAACAAATTGAGTCCCCTATTGTCAAAAAAATTATTTTAATGCATGAATATTACTTTTTATATCAAATTTATATAGGGAAATAAATTTTACTAGTCTTAAGCATTATTTCTGTTATATTTTGTTCTGAATTCCTTAAGAGTAGTATACCTGAATATTTTTAGCTTTTTCAATGTGATATAAAAATCTGTTCATTTTTTTATTTTTAGGTACTGTAAATATATGACTTTTTGTTATTATTCAACAATGAATAAACAACATATTTAAATATTTTTTTTTTATGTACTTAATTCTTGAGTGAAACATTTCTAAATAAAGTAGTCTGACCAGTCAACTTCTTCCCTTCATATATATAGGTGCCAGTGCTGACCTATGTATTTTCCACACTGCTTGAGCAAGTCCCATTTGCCCAAGCTGCCATGTTTAAATCTTTCTTTCCTATTTCCAGAAATTTTTTATTTCAATTAGTGGTGATTACTTTTCACTTGGAAAAGTTCAATATGTTAAAATTATTGGGAAAGTACAGTAAGATCCCACTTAACACTGCCATGTTTAATGCTGATTCAATATGACACGGTCTGCTTGAAGCCTAAAAAAGCTCAAAATTTACGCTGATTTAAATTATTGCAGCATTTCAGTGATTTGTATATAATATGATTATTTGTGAACCCAAACCAATCAGCAAAAGGTGCAAAAAGGTGTACTTTCTTTAAATCTATCTTTGTTTGGTGCAATTTTGGAAAAAATATAACATCATAGATGCCATAGAAAATGCTGACTTTGCTTGGCAAGAATTAACTGATAAATGCACGAAGTGTGGAAGAAGTTAAGAATTCTTGGATACCTTCAGCCATAACGAGAAGAGCCTATCACTGTATCGTTAGGTTGACCAACCTCAACCTAATTGATATAGCAGGACTAGGAGATATAGACGAACAGGATATTGAGGAGTTGCAGCAGGTTTCTGGTGAGAGCCTTACCAATGACGACCTTCAAGAACTGGCAGAACATAGAATTCATGTCGAACTGGAAAATAGAGATTCTAAAAACGAAGAACCCAAAAAATTTCTCTATAGATTTCCTTAGTAAAAGTTTGGTAAGATAACCAAAATTGTTGATCAAATTGTAGCGAATGATTCAGATTTTGAAAGGAGTGCTAAAGCAAAATGAGGCATTTTGGATGTGATCTTTTGCTATCGACATTTGCTTAAGGAAAGAAAAAAGTGACAAATGAAACATCACGACTTTATTGCAAAAGAACAAGAATTTCAGAAAAGTCAGGACATTCATCACAAAAAATGAACTTTACATTTCTGTATGCATATGTTTGTTATTTAACATATATTATTAAACAAATTAATATAAAAATAACTTAAAATTAAAGTAAAATTTTTAAATTTTTAGTCGCATGGTCCCTATCCCAATTTACTCTGTTAAAATGACCTCGTTTAACACTGTTTTGCTTAGCACCTTGTTGTCTAGGAATGCATCCTCCGTGTTAAGCGGGGTCTTACTGTACATCATTGCCAATATAATTTGTTCCACTTTTTGCATTTTGTCACTGTGATTCATTCTTTGTATTAACTAAGCTTAAAATTATTTAATATTTAATTTAATTTTAGTTTTTTTTGACATTTATTATTATTATTATTATTGTGTAGGTAGAGTGTGTCCTACTTGGCTTATGTGGCTTGGCTTATGTATTCTTCAATTATTTTATAAATTTTAAAATAACTACAGCATTTTAACTATACATTTATAAAATACTGTTTCAATAGAGAATGTGACTCTTGAATATTTCTGATAAGTAAAATATGGCTCCTATTGTGACGAGGTTTGGCCACCTCTACAATATATCCTTATAATTATACTGTTAGCAGATAGATATTTAGAATCTTATGCATTTTGTGACAGATGAAAGCCTTAAAATAAATATCTACTCCACTGTAGCCCTCTTTGGAAAATTTTATCCAATCCATAGGTGTGAAAAAAAAAATTATGAACAGACTTTTGTTTTTGAGACTTCAGAATTTTGGGCTGCAATTTTCAAATTTCAAATCTATAAATTTCTACTGCATCTGTCTGTCTGTTCTTCCTTAATCTTGAGAATGGAGTTAGATAAAAATCGAGACCAGATATGGAAAGCTTAAGGACAGGAGGCCATATGAGAAGGACATATGAACTTCTGGTTTGGATCAGAAGTCATGTTATTTCAATTTAAAAATTTCCTTTAGAAGGATCTTAGATAGATGACTGGAATGACTTTATTGTTATCAGGAAAAGTGTGATGTGCAGGGGAAAGGCACTACTAAAATGGGGAGCATATGTTATAAATTAAAAATATGATTAAAAATTGCAACCCAGCATTGTGATGATGTGACAATAAATAATTACTTGTTTATTTTTAGTGAAACACTAGTTTCTTTTGAACTTGTTAAATTTTTACTGGATGAAGAATTAATAATAATAATTGGTAAATCTTCAAGTTAAAAAATGTATAACTATTTAAGATGTCCTTTTAATAACAGAGTCAACAAAACCAGAATTTCTATTTATTGTAGTGTTATTTATTTATTCCGTGTAATGCTATCAGTCAGTTATTATTTTAAATATAAATGAGTTTCAAAGTGATTACAACAAGTATTTTTTTTTTTTTTTATCTGAATACATTTAATGCAAGAAATTGGAGAAATTTTCTGTTTTTGATAAATGCAAATGTTATATACAGTCAAACCTGTCTAAACTGGAGTCAGGCAGGTCCAAAATATCATTCCAGCTTGAACAGGTGTCCGACATCTAAAATGACTTTGTCTATGATGAAAAACAAAACTCTATGAAACAGAATCAATTTTTTTTCAAATTAAAATTAAACATGTAACATAATATATTCTATATTATGTTTTATATTTTTTATAAGTGTCAAACTTATATTTCCAATTTTAATGCACAAGTATTAACTTTATATATTTGTTACATAATGTTTAAGCATTTATTGAGTAACTATTTACTGAAAATAATCATTAATTTTTTTTGAGTCTTTTAATTTTAAAATCTTCTTCTTTTCCATTACTGTCTGTAGTTCCAAAAGACTTTTTAACATAAGAGTATATTCTATTTGTTGTGCATACAGTGATATCCCGACTTACGCGAACCCGGAGTTACGCGATTTTCAAATCTCGTTGATTCGTCTTTTGTTTGAGCACCGCGCAACTCTTGATTACTCATTCCCTCCACACTATTGTTCAACTTACATGTTCGGACATGTCGCGCGGAATTGACACATAGTTACAATTTATTTTGTGTTATTTATTTCTGTGTTTGTTATATCTACGGAGACTCGAGAGACTCTATGTGGTGATTTCTTGTAACAATGAACGAATCAAAAGATGAGATAAGATTAACGAGAGCATTTATTAGCTTACATACATCCGACTTGGATTTTACACACATTGAGAAATTATACCCCGACTTACGCGAATTCGACTTACGCGGT